CCAGGATAGCTGAGTTGGATAGCCACTTCGGCAGTATTCCTAGTCCCAGGGACCCACGGAGCCCCGCCACGTCTCCGGGAACAGAAACGCGAGCAAAGGAGGAAGGAAGCAGGGATAGGAAGCAGCTCCTGCTGTTGATCCCTGAGCCAGCCAGCACAATCCGACCAGCGGGGCCAAAATCTCCAGGTCGCCCCATGACCCTCAGGACACCACCAGGACGAGTAATTGAGGCCTCGGAGCCCCTGGCCATCGACGGAAATCTCCAGCAGGGCCCTGTTCTGGATCCGCCACCACGGGTAATCCCCGAGTTGCCCAGCACGATCCAGGGGTCAAGCATCAGCGCCACCAACCACCTGACCGCCAGGCGCCAGTCCAGGTGACAGTATCAGAACCACGCGGCATACCTCAAAGACCAGAACCCAGCACCACCGGACACCGCATCGCGATCGAACAACCAATCATCGGGACCCACTACCAAACTGGTCTGTCCCAGGGACAACGGGCCTACCGCCGAGGAGGAGAAATCTCATATTCCCTGCTGGCCGACAAGCTAAGGAAGTGGGGATTGACCTTCAACGGTCACATGGACCCTCTAGCCTTCAACGAGCGCCTGGAAGAACGGGTGGAATCGTACGGAGGAAGCCCAGAACAGTTTCCCCGAGCCATCTCAGGACTCCTGTCGGACAAAGCTGAGGGATGGTTTAGGACATTCCAAATGCAGGGAAAGAGCTGGGTGGAATTCCGAAAGGAGTTCCTAGACTTCTTCCTGCCACCTCGATACTTCCAACACCTGGAGGACACCATCAGAGGCCGGGACCAAGAGCCGAGGGAATCCTTCAGAGACTACCTGATTGAGCTGAGGTTAATGATGCAACGAGCTCGGTACACACAGGAGCGAGAATTGGATCGTGTCTACAAAAATCTCCGTCCAGAGTACCAGCTGTACACCCAAAGACAAGACTTTCACACTTTGACGGAGCTAACACAGCTATGCATGGCATACGAGACAGCCAGGGACCGCGAGGTCACTCGTACTACGGGAGCCACGCACGGTAACCGCCCGAAAGCACCGCCCTACTGGGAAAACGAGGCACTAACACCACGGAGCTCCACTCAGGAGGCATCTCGGAGAACAGAAATGGCCCACCGGGTGGTGGCCCAGGAAGAAGACAGACGGGTGGATGTGCGGCGAGCATGCAGAAACTGTGCGGAAGACGGTCATTTCAGCAGCACATGTTCCAACCGGCAGAAACTGTTCTGCTGGGAATGTGGGCGCCGGGGTGTCCGGACCATCAACTGCTGCCAGAGTCGGGAAACGACTCGAGTCTCCGCCCGACTGGGACGCGGACGGAGACACGACAGCAGGACCCCCAGGAATAACTCACCCAGTAAGTCTGGATGGAGGAAGGATCGCCGCTCTCGTCACCATCGAAAGGAAGGCCCTGTCGGCCACTCTCGACACTGGAGTCAACGGATGGTCCAGGAATTAGGGACGGAGACGAATCTGCGCGAGGTGAGGACGAGAATTACCCTGACGGATGGATCCAAGAAGGAAATAACTCAAGCAGTGCTGGCAACGGTACGACTTGATCAACGGGAAGCGCGAGTGGCTTTGCTCATCTTGCCCACGGTACTTGATGACGTCATCTTGGGTCTCGACTTCCTGTGCGGGATCCGAGCCAGGATCCACTGCGGACGTGCCTATCTACAGCTGAGGGTAAGACGTGACCAGCCAGGTACGACACCACTGGCCCCATCTGTGTCTCGACCACAGACGGTGACCTTCGCCAGCACACCCACTACCAGCCCAGCAAATCCGACCGCGCCTATGACTGGACCCATATCTCATGGACAGGCCCCGCCCAACCACAGGATCAGGAAAACTTCGGCAGAGGCAGTTGCGACACCGCTGGACAACTCCAGGGCCAGCTCGCCGAACCGGGAGTCACACAACAGGAACAGGAAAACTTCGGCAGAGGCAGGTGCGACACCGCTGGACAACTCCAGGGCCAGCTCGCCGAACCGGGAGTCACACCACAGGACCATGAAAACTTCGGGAACGACGACGACAGCACGACCGGACAACACCCGGACCAGATTGCCCGACCTGAAGCCGACCCCACCCAGCACGACCAGGACAAAGTCAACGCCACGCATCGAACAGGATGGACCCAGCAGTTCAACCAGGAAAACTCCATCGAACCAAACGACCACGAAGAACCACAGCATAACACCCCAGGACAAAGACGGGTCTCGCCCCAATCCCACAGCCTTTGCCGAGAACAGGCGGATCAATCAGGCAACCAAGTCCCAGGCACGGAAAGAGAGAGACGACGCCAAACAGAAGACACTGATAGACTACCAGCTATAGCCATTAGACGACGCCGACATTGCAAGGATTGAAATCCGTGCCGAACTGCAGTGAACTACCGTGAACTTGGCCACCATCCTGACGGATGAGCTGCCACTATTGCCCCCGGAAGAGCCTGAACCCCCGCCCACACCAGCGGCAGCAGAGTTTCTGGAGCAGGAACTTTCCAAGTTCGAGGGACTCAACGGAACATCGCAAATCGCCGAGCATACGATCATTATGCGGGACGACCGACCCGTGAAACAACGCTACTTCCCCAAGAACCCAGAGGAGGAGGAACTCCTACGCGACGGATGGATCGAGCCCTCGAAGAGTCCCAAATGCGAACGTGCGTGGACTATCGGCAACTCAACGCTCGATCGGTGCCAGACGCGTACCCGCTGCCCCGGATCAATCATATCCTGGAGAGGCTTCGCAACGCCCGTTACATTTCGACGTTGGACCTCAAGAATGGCTATTGGCAGAATCCGGTGGCAAAGGGTAGCAGGGAAGCCACGGCATTCACCGTGACGGGACGAGGACTTTTCCACTGGAAGGTCATGCCATTCGGCCTTCATTCGGCCCCAGCAACATTTCAACGCGCTCTGGACAGCGTCATCGGACCGAAAATGGAACCCTACGCGTTCGCCTACCTCGATGACATCATCGTCATTGGAGCAAAACTGGAGGAGCACATCGACAACCTGCGCGCTGTATTCAGAAGACTGAGGGAAGCGAACCTCCGACTGAACCGCAAAAAATGGAGGTTCTTCCAGAAGAGCTTTGTTTACCTGGGCCACGTCATCAGCGAGCAGGGGATTCACACCGACCCGGAAAAGATCATCGCAGTACGGAAATTAGCGCCGCCGGGCACTCTGAAGGAGTTGAGACGCTGCCTCGGGATGGCCTCGTGGTACAGGAGATTAGTGCCAAACTTCGCCACGGTGGTTCAGCCGATGACCAGCCTTTTGGGGAAGGACGACAAGTGGAACTGGACTGAGGAACAACAAACTGCATTTGAGGACCTGAAGGAAAAGCTAACCCAAGCGTCGGTACTGGCGTGCCGACGCCCTCTCACGACACCCAGTTGAGACACTGCAGCGAGTCGAGGAAGAAGTGAACACCTGCTCTTGGATACAAAGACTACGCCGACGCATACAAGGGGAACCCGAAAAACACCACAACTTTATCATGGAGAATGACCAGATCTACAGGCGGACGGGATTTCGGGAAGCGGAGGAAGACCCCATACAGTGGAAGCTATGCGTCGCTAGGGACCACAGGCGCCGGGTGCTAAAGGAGTGCCACGACCACCCAACGGCAGGACACCTGGGAATCAGGAAGACGGCGACACGCGTTTCTCAATGGTACTATTGGCCTGGACTCCATCGAGATGTAGCCCGGTACGTCGGCAAATGTACCAGCTGCCAGCAGTTCAAGGTGAGCCAACTAAAACCAGCCGGACAGATGCACACACGGCAGCCCCAGGGTCCACTCGACATTCTGTGCGCAGACTTTGTCGGGCCACTCCCTCAGTCAAAGCATGGCAATACGATGCTTTCGGTCTTCTTCGACGCGTTCAGCAAATGGGTGGAACTGGTGCCACTTCGTAAGGCCACCACGGCCCAGTTGGAGAAGGCGTTCCGTGAAAGGATACTCAGTCGCTTTGGAGTCCCAAGAAGGTTCGTCTGCGACAACGGGACTCAATTTACCAGTCGCTCCTTTCAGAGCTTCTGCAAGCAAGCTGGAATGGAACTGGAGCATACGGCCCCATATACGCCACAACAGAACCCGACCGAGAGGGCAAATAGGACTATCAAAACCATGATCGCCCAATACGTCGACGGGGACCAACGAACATGGGATGAGTTGATTCCCGAGCTCAGCTTAGCCATCAACAGCAGCGTCTGCGACACCACGGGATTCAGGCCGGCGTTCATTGTATTCGGCCGAGAGCCGCGGTTACCAGGAGCCCTATACGAGGAAACAACTCCAGGATTAGGAGAACCTACCGAAACACCACGGATAAAGGCCGAACGACTCCAAGGCCTATTCCAGCTGGTTCAGGATAACACACAGCAGGCATCGCATGAGCAAAGCAAGGCTTATAATCTTCGACGACGCGTGTGGCGGCCCACAAACGGGTCACTGGTGATGTTGCGCCAACTCCACCTATCCAAGGCAGGTGAAAGCCTTGCAGTGAAGTTGGCCCCTAAATACGAGGGACCATACCAGGTGGAAAAGTTTCTCGCACCAAACATCGTACGTCTAAAACTGCAAGCAGGACGACAACGGAGGACCGCCGGAATAGCGGACCTCAAGCCATACCACGACCCTGACATCAACGAAGATGACGACGACGCCGAACCAGCCGGACCCGACGATCCAGCAAGGGAATACTAATGCCGACGACCAGGCTAGCAGCAGCGATCATGAGGGCCACTTATGGCAGTGCGCTGCCATAACGTCCTCGCCCCAAAAGGGGCATCGCCAGCGACGCAGTAAGCTAGGTATAGACCCCTTAAGGGGATTAAGTAAGCCAGGGACCCCAGAAATATTGTAAATCGCACCGCTCAGGCAGGACAGGGTTATAACAGCTTAGTAGGTAGGATCTAACCACCCGAGATTTTCTTCCCCCACAGAATCTACGATGCGACGCGGACGCGCGAGTGACAGACGGCCCACAGGGGCAGAAGACGACACATCGGGGCATCCTGGGAGGGCACTACCGCTCGCAGACCCACGTCCACGCCGTCGCTACCCCTACGCCAACGTACGACCAGCTCACGCCAATCCAGCCAACGGTGGTCCCACCGTCAGACGAACAGACCCCATCAGCCCAGCTCATCCCAGCCGCACCGACCCGACGTCGGCCAGCGACACCAGGGGACCCTCAACGTCCCGAAGCGCCACCAAGCGCAAGAGGACAGACGAACCGGAGCCTCGCCGACAAGGCGGAAACCCCCAAAGGCAACCGACATCACCACCACCACCACCCTCCTCGACACGACGAGTCGAGGCCTCAGACGGCCTCCGCCGGCTGGGCCAAGAGCGAGACGACGGTCGACTAGGCGCGCCATTCCAAACGAGCAACGTGGACGCCGAGAGTAGGTGGGGAGACCCCGCCATGGCCGAGGAGAGCGACGAGGAAGTCCTCAACGACGGACGCTTTGGGATAAATTCCCAGCGGGCCCCTCTACGACACGATATCGAGACGCTCAATCGGTGGCTGAATACAGAGCGGGCCCAAGGCCCGCAATACTCCGACGTCAGCGAGGACGAGACTGAGGAGACACCGAGAGAGCGATGCCCGGACCCGGTAGCGACCAGCTTAGGCAGGCAGGCTACTGTCGAGGAGGAAAACCGGCCAGCGCCATCGAGCCCCAAGGATACTGGAGCACCGCCCGCTTACGGGTCGTGGCATCCTTCAACGAAGATCCCCGGAATCCCACCCCCACGGAGGCGCCACAGTGCGACCCAGCACTAAGGACACCTTGGCCTGACTCTGCGCACTCGTTGCAAAGCATCCTAGAGCAGCGCGCCAGTCCACGACGCAGTAAAAGGGCACCTGACCTTCCTGACCTGGACGGACAGCGAGGCCGAAACGGAGGAGTGGGACGGGAGTGGGTACCACTCAGAGTCCAGTGCCGAAGAGGAGGCTGAGGCAGAAGAAGCGGTAAAAGAGGAGGCAGAGGCAGAAGAGGAGGCTGAGGAAGAAGACGTCGACGAGGAGGCTGAGGCAGAAGAGGCGGAGAAAGAGGAGGTTAGTGACGAGGATACCACCGAAAAGGGGAACAGCGGGGACGACCGCTCAAAGATGAGTTTCATACTCTCCCCCCGAACCCCATCCTACTCATCTGTCCCCAACCAAACGGAACTTTGCGCATACTGGCCCAACTCTCCTGACCATCGAATAATCGGCCCACATCGAACCGACCCCCGGGTAATCACGATCAGTGACAGAGAGGAGGAGGGCACGACAGACGGACCCTCGGAAGCAGTAGCAGACAAGACACCCCAAGAGCAGGATGCGCCCATGGACCTTCGACGCATCAACCACAGGGATCGCGAGGTCGAAACCATAGGTGCGGCAACGCGGACACCTCCCCACGAGAGCAATCCCTACCGCGAGTTGCAGGGACTAACTCTCGATGATCTCCTGGGCGAAGCCATAGGGGCGGCAGAGGAGATACCTCTCCACGAGGGCGACTCCTACCTGGAGCTCGAGACGTTCGACGCCGACGACCTCATGGCACTCTTCAACGAGCTCCCGGCGTTGGACACCGTACAAGAGGAAGGAGAATGGCGGGAGGCACCCGCAGGCTGGCAGGTAGATACCCCGATGCGCCGAGTACCTCAGACCCTCATCGAAGCCGTTCAGAGAAGGCTGGACGCGGAAAGCACGTCGCGAACACGGACATTGGAGATCCATGGCGGCCAGCGGTTCCGGATCTCGGTGAACCGAAACAGGGAGGTACGGGTGTTTTTACGACCCTCCCGAAGTGAGGAGGGAGTGTAAGGGAGTGCCCTTACAAGGGGCATGTACATTTGTAAATAGAGGGAGGTAGAACCTCATTTTTATTTATTATTATTTTTTCATAGTTCGTAAGTTATTTCATATTCACCCTAACATTAAGTTGTTTCATTTCTTTCACCTAATCATAAGAGCTGTACATAGTGGAGAATAGAGGCGAAAGCCGCGTAGCGTAAAAACATCGTAAATTCATAGGGCAAACCGTGGTCAGGAAACAGTCACCGTACTCGTCATCTCTGACCGCCCCACACACAGCCACAGCGAAGAACAAGTGACGCACACATGACAAACGAGCACAGCAGGCCACGATCTACGGGAGAGAGCCACACATGCGTCACAGTCCGAAACGACGCACCACAACAGAGAGAGCGACTTCGCTCAAAATGCAGCCCAGCGACAGACCTACGGGAGAGAGCGACGCATACGTCCGATCCAAAACGGCACGCCACAGCAGAGAGAGAAACTTCGCTCAAAATGCGGCCCAGCGACAGAACGCAGTGGCCGAGCAGCAAGCAGAGGAACGAAGGCAGCGACTCTCAGCAGAAGTGGACTCACCCCCACACATGGAAAAGAGGGAGACGGCGTGATACCGATGGACGATCGGGCAACGGCCCGAGTACCTCTGCCAAGACGCTGCCTGGAAAAGAAGGGTTCGAGCCCGCGTCGAATAGTGCGGCTCAGGAGTCAAGTGGAGATCGCCAAAAGTACCAGTCGTATTCGCGGAAAACAAAAACCGGTGCCCTGCCTCCAAAAGTGACCGTGCCCACCCCGCCCCACAACTACGAAGAGAAAACCACGCAACAACCAAACGAGCCGCTCGGAATACCAGGCCGTGGAGAGGGTAAGCTGGCTTCACTTAAGTGAGTAGGGGACAATAGCGGTGCGATAGGTAGGGCGTAGGGAATGATTTAATAAAAATACAAAAGGAATAAACCAAATTCACCCAGTTTATTCTACTGGGAGGGAACTGGGAACTCAAACTAGTACCCCCGACCCCTGCCACCACGACTGAAGTCCAGTTAGTCCACCAAAGCCCCAACCGCAACTTACAGAAGCCGGACGTGGAAGCACGGCGACTGTAGGTAATCCTTCCTCCTTTTCCCAGTAGTTATTTCCCTGTAGTTGGGGAGTCGGTCCGCGGTACTGGACGTGGAAACACGGTGCCCGCAGAGCTGATCCTCCCCCTTCCCCCGTAGCTATTTCCTTTTAGTGTGGAGAGTCAGTCATTCCGGTGCGCCGGTGCGACATTTACATAGATCTTCTCGAGGTCCCACAACAAATAAGAAAATCTTGCTGTAGTGGATCGGGCTCTGGCCAGACTGAGAGTCTGTACCCCAGCGAAACTTCATTACAAAGTAGTCCGGGATTCCTAAGCGGGTTAGGGCCCTGAGGATGACGTCCCACCTCGCCGAGTTGAAAGCGTTCTTTACGTCGAGAGTGAACACGAGACAGTACTGCTTCCGTCCTCCAAGCCACTTGGTTACCTCAATAGCTTTTGCCGCTATGTCTTTAACTATGCGGACTGCGTCCGCCGTCGATCTTGCCTTCTTAAAGCCGAACTGCATCGGAGACAGGTCATCTGCATCTACTACAGCTTTCTGAATCTTCCTGCAGATGCATCGCTCCAGCGCTTTGCCCACGTTGTCTATCAGGCAGATGGCCCTATAGGATGAAGGTTCTTCAGGGGGCTTGTGGGGTTTTGGCAACAGGACAAGCTTCTGCTGCTTCCATGGCTCTGGGAAGACTCCTTCGCGAAGGCACATGTCGAAGACATGCGCGAAGGTCGATGGATGCGCTGCCATTGCCAGCTTCACGGCGGTATCGGGGATGCTATCTGGGTTTGGGGCCTTGCCGGTCGGGGTTTCGGCTGCCACATCCAGAATCTCGCTTGCCGTTATGTCGGTCCATCCGATGTGGCGATACGGTGCTCGTGCCGGACTGACAGCTGGGGCGACAGTGGGAAAGGCAGGATCGGCCGTGGTGAAGGGCTTTGCCGCGTTGAGCTTTTTTGCTATGACCTTGTATGCGAGACCCCAGGGGTCTTTTTTGGCAGAATCGCAAAGCTCTAGGAAATACTTCCTCTTGCTTTCTCTGATAGACCTTTTGAGGACTCGGCGTTTCGCGGCGTATTCCAGGGACCTCGTCTGGAAGGCTGGCGTTCTCTTCGCGGGTGTTTGACGCCTCTATTTTTAATGTGTGTGTGTTTTTTTTTTTTTTATTGGGAAAACAATATAACAATAGTGACATGGAATGTGGGGGTGTGGATACGTTGGTTGGTTGAATCCGCTCCCGCGGGACTGCCGCTAAGCATTACTTCGCGGGACGGAGGGGTGGGGAAATTCAGCAGGCAGAGTTAGCCGGCCCGGCTTCGCTCCAGCCTACGCAGCTCCCGGATGATGGTTGCTGCCATCGTGGCGACCTTCTTCCATATCGTCTCGTCCGCTACTATCCGTGCAGTTAAGTTGTCTGGGTTGGCACCTGGGCTCGTCTCTAGTAGCCTCGCGCGTTCTTGCAAGAAGCGGGGGCAGGAGAAAAACACATGTTCTGTGTCTTCCACTACTCCAGGCCCACAATGGCTGCAGTAGAGGTTGTCGGCGTGCTTGAAGCGATGGAGCGATAACAGTTGGCCCAGGTAGTGGTCTATCTGTCCTTTCCTTCGTTTCAGCCATTGGCCAAGCTGAGGGATGAGCCTTCTCGTCCACCTTCCGCTAACAGCTTGATCCCAGCGCTGCTGCCAGCGGGATATGCTGCCATCTCGCCGCTCGCTATTTACCGACGTTCCGCTCTGGCGCTCGTCGGCCAGAAGGTCCAGCGGGACCATGCCTGCCACAACCAATGCTGCGTCTTCTGACACCGTCCGGAAGCAGTACGCAACTCGAAGAGCTCAGCGTCTGTATGTACTTCTGCTGCCTGCACTGTACGAAGCCACCCTCATTGCTGGCGCATACACGGTCGATCTGTACATGATTATTGAGGTAACCACCCCGGCGATGAGCTTTCTGCTGCGCTGTCGTGGTCCTCCTGTGTTGGCCATCATCCTGCTTATTGCTGCGGTTGCTGTGGCTGCCTTCGCGCTTGCGTATGCAAGGTGGGCCTTGAAGGATAGCCTTTGATCCAGCATCACCCCTAGGTATTTTACCGCAGGATGGTAGTGTTTCCGACCCTCACGCATGCCTGCTCGACCTTCTTTCTGCTGCTTATTAGCACAGCCTCCGTCTTCTTCTCCGCCAGGGACAGTCCATTCTCTGCAGGCCAGGATACTATGCTTCCGACTGCTTCGTTGCATTTGGCTTCCGTGTCTCTACTGTGCTTTGCTACTGTCACCAGTGCGATATCGTCAGCGAAGCCCACCAGAGTGCATCCTTCCGGTAGTGCGAGCCGCAGGATATCGTCATACATGACGTTCCAAAGAATAGGGCCTAGGACCGAACCCTGGGAAACGCCACCCGTGTTGCCGTGTTGCTTTGCTCCCTCTTCCGTGTCATAGAGCAGGACTCGGTCTGTAAAATAACTTCGCAGCGTTTGTATAAGGTACAAAGATATGCCTCTCTTCGTCAGGGCTTCCAGTATGCTCCTCCAGCTGGCCGAGTTGAAGGCGTTCCGTACGTCTAGCGTGCATACTAAACAGTATTCTTTGGTGCCTCCAGCCCATCGCGATCCCGCTGCTCTGGCCAGATCCGTTACCATTTTGATGGCTGAATATGAGCCTCTCGAATACTTTGCCCATGGTGTCCAGCATGCATAGCGGCCGGTACGCAGATGGTTCGCTTAGCTCCTTGCCAGGCTTGGGTAGCAGGACAAGCCTTTGCCTTTTCCACGCTCGCGGCACTGTCCGTTCCGCTAGCTATTGGTTGTACATCCATGTGAATGCGTCAGGATGTGCGCTGATTAAGCATTTTAATGCCGCATTAAGTACTCCATCTGGCCCTGCCGCTTTGCCGTTCTTCAGCTTGGCCGTGACCTCTAACCTCTGGCTCCATACGGTGTTCGTGGTGGCAGAGATATCCGTCAGCACCGCTAGGAGGTCGCTGTGTGTGTACACGCTCAGTACTCGTCACTTCGCGTGGCGTGCGAGCTCCGGGCTTACAAATGTAAGGTCAATAATTGACTCCCGTCCTGCTCTGCTATACGTTGGGGTGCTTCCTGTGTTGAGAATACAGACGCTCAGACTTGCAAACTCGTCCAGGATGTTGCGATGTTGCTGATGATCTCCTCGTACTCCTGCTGCGTAAATCTTGGTGCTATGTAGCAGCTATACACAAAATATTCCATTGTGCTTAGCTCTCACATAGCCCACTCTGGATGCTCTGTGCGTGAACTGGCCTGGTCGCGGGCCACAGCTCCAGATTGCTGCTCCTCCGTCTGAGCTTTGCTGCCAGACTCCTTCGTGTTTGTTCGTGAAGGGCTCACTGAGCAGCGCTATGTCGATATTCTGCTCCAAGACCGTTTGCGCCAACAGATCCTGAGCAGCCCGGCAGTTGTTTAGGTTAAGCTGTAGTAGCTTACCCATCAACCAGTTTTGATAGGGCCTTCTTATACTCAGGGCAGCTGCGGCTCAGGACCGAGTGAGCTGTTGAGCGGGTGTCTCCTGGTGTGCCATAGTATGCATTTTGGCGGGTTGTTGCACTGGTTGTGCTTGTGCCCCTCTCCTCCACATTTGTAGCAGGCGTCTCTTGGCACAGGCCGCTTGGATATACACCTGGCTGCAGCGTGTCCATAGGCCATGCACTTAATGCAGCGGGTTGGAGCAATCCGGCGCCGCATGCGGCAGACAACCCAACCGACTCGCACCTTGCCAAGCTCGAGGAGCTTCTTTGAGAGTGCGGGCTGGAGGTTCAGCGTAGCTACCTGCGTGGCAGCATATGCTTTCCGCATGTACGGCACTGCTCCTTGGGGTAAGTGGCCGCCGATCGCTGCAACTATGGCCTCCCATACTTCCACGCCTGTCGTCAGTTCGTCAATGTCGAGGACTTCAACCGCGACTGTCTCCTGCATGGCCTTCACGGCTGCCTTGTCGCCAAGCGCTTCCTGTATGGCCGTCTGTAGCTCCTGGGTGGCGGGGTCTGAGGGTTGCTGCATCCTGAGGAGCAGCTCCCCCGAGGCAGTCTTCCGGATGCCCTGAACCTTGTTTTTTAGGTTCTGGAGAGTTGGTGCTGCTTTCACCAGTTTGAGGATGTCGGCGTATGATGCCTCCTCGGTGCATTGAACCAGCACTGCGTCTGGCCGGGCTGTCTTCTTGTGATTGGCACGCCTACCTCTGACCTCACTCCACTTGTGGTTTGGGTCAGCGCTTTCTGCCTTGCTTAATGGGCTTTCAGGATGGCCTTGCCTGGGCTTGGCGCGAGCACTCTTCTACTAAGTTTGCGTCGCCTTAGTCGCACTGGGCTTTGTGGAGTGTGGATCACAATGGTCCAGCTTGGGTAGGGGGCCTGCAGGTTGGCAGTGGCACTGGCAATCTCCTGCTCTGGCCTTTCCTCCGCTGGCGCCTTCAGCTGGGACCTGACTTCCATTTGCAGCTCATTCATTCGCCCGATCATCTTCTTGATGGCCACGTTGATAGACCTCTGACCTTTCTCATTCATTTGATGTAGAAGATCATCCAGTATTGCTCCCATCTCATCGATGTCTTGGGCGCTGGTCCTGCTCCTCTTAGGGGGTTTTCCTCACGCTACTCGCTGGAGAAGGGGGGGTCCCGCGGCCTCTTTGGGGTATCGGCGTCCTTTAAGTCTTCCTGTGGTGGCCCGCTGGCAAAGCTGCGCATCAGGCTTTGCTTCATGGGCGGCGCTGAGGCTGCTAGTTGGTGTGGCGGTGTTCGGGCCACCTTTGAGGCTTTTTGGAAAGCCATTGCTCCGTTGCTTGTCATGCTACTTGCTTCGTCGGCCAAGTGTGCCACCGGCAAAGCAAGGTTGGGGGGAATGATTGTTGGGGCCTCCAGAGTTCCACCAGCAGGTGGCAAGTTATTCGGTTTGGATGGAGCGTAAGCCGTATAGATGTTCTCGCCTAGGAGGTAGGCAGTACTACTTTCTTTGGAGCTGGTCGCTGACAGAAGCTATCTGCTGTGGGAGCTACTGTCTCTCTGCAGCGGACGCTGTCAAGGGCTGGCTGCTTTGACACCCAATGCCCCTTCGCAGCACTGCTGTCGATCAGGTGGTAAGTGGCCTGCACTCTCCAGCCCTGGTATACCAGTCGATCAGCTGCGATGCCTGGAGTGGAATGTGTGCAACCCCAAAGTAGAGACGAAAATAGGAAGAAAAAAAAGAGATAGAAAAAAGAAAAAGGCGGGAGCCTCCGGGCGTTGAGTGCCAATTCAACGCACTCAAGGTGGGGCCTGGCACCCCTTGCCCCGCCCGTGAAGGAACGACGAGCAGTCCGGATCCGGGGCCAATAGGTGTGTGATTTGACTCTCCCAGGTGAGCACGCGGTGTCAACAAACGCTTTGGCTAATGTGTGGGTCTTTCCGCAGGTATATTTCGCGATTTCGGACTTGGTTTGCAGAGCAGGTGTTGGCGCGTCCGCACTCGAAAAAAATTCGCGATGTGTCAATGTGTGTGTGTGTGTTTTTGTATTCATTTAATGGCTTCCTCAATAGTGCTTATACCTAAGAACAATACAATGTGATACGAACAGTTGGGGGACAGATGGGGGACAGATGGGGTAGGGGTCGTGCGACTAGCGGTACTGCCGCAAGGCATTGCTTCGCGATGTGTCAATGTGTGTGTGTGTGTGTGTGTATGTGCCTTTTGGACGACGAAAGATAGAATATTTCTATGTTCCGCTCGAGATGGGTTGCTTTTCTAGTATTGTAACGAACCGGTTTGTCCGCCTTGTGTGCGCTTGGCGTACTCAGCGGCTGGTGGGTTCGCTGCAACGAATTTGGGTGTTGCCCGGGGGACAAAGCAGAAAGACTTGGTTGGCTTCTTTATACACGAGTTCTTTATTGGTATCTTAGGAAGTACGCTTAAGGACGACAACTTAGCCTATTCTTTGGTTTAGCACTATGATCACGGTCACGTTTGGTCCTTCTCGCCCACTCGCCGTTCCTCGGAATCCCCAAGCGTGGCACTGTCGGCTCTGAGAACTGGTACGACAACGACTCCTAGCGTTAAGCCCAAGTCCGCCGTACTCAGTTCGCACACGACACGTTCGCTCTCACTGGATCCTTCCGTTGAGCGAGCGGTACACCAGGTCCTTTCTCTTGACGCTTTTTGGGTAACTTTCTGACTTTCCTCGATATTCGCTGTCACACGCACTTGCACTCTCCGCACTTGACTGTCCCGAGCCGCTGTCGCGCGCCTCCTTTTATTTCCTCCTTGACGCACGGCCGCATCGTTGCTGCCTGGCAACAACGGGACTTTCCTCCAGACGTCGGCGGTATTTTCCATCGGCTCGTCTGATGCTCTCCACCTGCTTCGTAACGGGACCCAACCGGTGGCGTGATCGCATGGCCATAAATGGTCATGCGCTGGACCACTGCCGGCCCGATCCCACTATCCCGCCTCTCTTCTGCCTTCCACTTGCTTCGCAACGGGACCCCGCTGGTGGCGTGATCGCATGTCCATAAAAGGTCATGCGCTGGACCACTGCCGGCCCGATCCCATTATCCCGCCTCTCTTCCGCGCTCCTTTACTCTCCCTGGTAGCGCCCTCCGATCGCGGCTCTCTCCGTTGCCCCTCCCTTGAGCGAGACCCTCCCAGGCAATTCGCCGTTATCCGGTTATCCGGACACCCGGATAGACCTTAACCCCTTAGGGTCCATGCGTGTGAGGATATCATTCCTCACACTTCCCCCTTTCTTCCCCAACGGAAAACTCCCTTCTGCGACCTCTTGTAAATCCGGCCGTTAAATTTTACATTCCAACGGCCGCCCGCGCCTTTAAACCGGGCGCGTTCTGGCGCCCTCTGCCGGACCAGGCGCGTTCTGGCGCCCACTGCTGGACCGGGCGCGTTCTGGCACCCCCTGCCGGGCTTACCTGATGGGATGCTGCCGGATCGGTGAAATGCGCACGCGCGTGCGACTATCACAGGGCTGCCTATAGGCCATCGATATGATGTAGGGATGGTTTTCTGTCCTACTCGATATCACTTTCTTGGCCGCGTGCGTACTTCGCAACGAGTAGTTGTTAATGGACGATGGTAAGTGCCTTTACACTCTTCTACACCGACCATCTCTCTCACTTTCCATCCTTTAGTCACCGGCTCGGATCGCTTGCCTTCACCTGCGCATCGACCACCGTGCGGTACCGTTCCGGCACCTTTCCCTTCCCCGGCAGCCCCATTCATCTCGGCCGTGGCTCGCCGGCCTCTGCCGCCGCTCTGCCACGTCTCGCAGTGGCCTCCCCTCCTTCCCCGTAAGTCTGCTTTCCGTTTGTTTTTTTTTCAATCTCTTTATTATGTTCTTAACGAGCCCCAGATTCTCGGAAGACCTCCTGGTGGTCCCGGCACACCGTTACCCGGTACCGGACCCCTCCGTCGTTCACCAGCCGCTTGATGCGCCTCGAGGTGAACCTCGATCGAGCCAGGACTCGCTCCACCTCCCCTGGCCACTCCTCCCGTCTCACGGGCCGCCAGCGTGGGCCCTCCGCCCCTAGCTGTGCCTGCGGACACGACGCCTGGCGCTGCATGGGCGCCCGCAGTCTCTCCCGCTCCTCCGGACACGACAACTGCCGCTCCGGCCTTGGATTTGCGCGCCTGGCTTCCGGCGCGGGCCACTGCCACGGACCCCGCTCCCATGGCTCAGGTGAGCATACTCCCGCCGCGCTCGCGGCTGGCTCCGCTACCGCGTTCGCTGCCGTCGTCGCCGCGCTTGCCGTCGCTGGCTCCGCTGCCGCCACCGACTCTGCCGCTGCGCTCGCCGTTGCCGGCTCCGCTGCCGCCACCGCTCTGCCGCTGCGCCCGGCGTTGCCGGTTCCGCTGCCGTCGCCGACTTTGCCGTGGCGCTCGCCGTCGCTGGTTCCGCTGCCGCCGCCGACTCTGCCGCCGCCTTCGCCTTTGCTGGTTCCGCTGCGGGCTCCGCTGCCGCCGTCGACTCTGCCGCCGCGCCCGGCGTTGCTGGTTCCGCTGCCGCCTCTGCCGCCGCGCTCGCCGTTACTGGCTCCGCTGCCGCCGCCGACTCTGCCGTCGCGTTTGGCGTTGCTGGTTCCACCGTGGGCTCCGCTGCCACCGCCGACTCTGCCGCCGCGCCCGGCGTTGCTGGTTCCGCTGCGGCCGCGCTCGCCGTTGCTGGCTCCGCTGCCGCCACCGACTCTGCCGCCGCGCCCGGCGTTGCTGGTTCACCTGCTGGTTCCGCTGCCGCTGCCGACTCTGCCGTCGCGCTCGCCGCTGCCGGTTCCGCTGCTGGCTCCGCTGCCGCCGACCGCCCCCTTGGGTCGCGGCCATTGCTCCGTCGGGCCGGCGTCTCCTCCCACACCCGCGCTTCTTCCGGAGCCTCCGGCTCCCTAGGTGCCGGCCCCGATGCCCAGGTGATGTGGAGGATTTGGTGGTGCCACACCATTCCTCCCCGCACCGCCGTACGTACCTCCTGCGTTACGTACGGCCCGATCACCGCGCCTTGTGGTCCCTGCCACCGGTGTTGCTGCTGCTGCCACGAGGCGTCCGCTCCCGGCCGCTGTTGCTGGGACGAGGCTTGGGGCCCCCGTCCTCCTTCGGGGAACCTAGCCTCTTCCTCGGTCCGCGGTCGTCGCTGCCACAGCTCCTCCTCATCCTCGTCCGGCGCGGCCTGGCCACGGTCTTCGGGCTCTGGTGTCGTATGGGAAGGCTGCCACAGGCCCTCCTCCTCCTCTTCCGCCCGACGTAGTCGCTCCTGCCACTCTTCTTCTTCCGTGGCCTCGGCTCTCGGGCCCTGGCGTCGGAGGGGACGGCTGCCACCGACCCTCCTCCTCTGCGCACCGCCTCGCCTCTTCCTCGCGGCTCTTCTCCTCGGCCCTCTGCCGCTCCTTCTCTCGCAATTCGGCCGCAACCTTTTCCAGCACACACGTCCGGTGGTGCTCCTCCGCCTCCCGCCGGGCCTTTTCCTTGGCCTCCTCGGCCGCTTGCTCCGCCTCCTGCGTGGCCTTCAGATTCTTCGCCAGCACCCGCGCGTCCTCCCAGACCGGCCGCTGTCGCAGCGCCTCCTTTGCTGCTTCCAGCGCGATCCGCCGCCGCCACTCCGCGACCCGCTTCTCCTCGGCTTCCCGCTCCTCGGCGTCTGTCGGTGGCCGCCTCACCGTCGGTCGCTCCTCCGCCTCTGTTGAGGGCCGCTTCGCCACTGGTCGAGCCTTCTTGGGGGCTGGCTCCCAGCTTGTCATCACCACGTCGCTGTCGGCTTCGCTGGCCCCAGGAGACACCAGCGGCGACCCTGTGGCTCCCACTGACCCTTCTGATGAGATCAGTGGGGACGCAAGGAGCTGCAGCTCAGGGAACGCCTCCCTCCGTTGCCCTTCGCCATCCTGCGAGAGCCGATTCGCTCGTCGCTGGCTCCGGGACAACGAGGCATAATATCCCCGTCGCATCAAGCTCCGTTGCTCCGCCAAATATCTCGCCATGTGCTGCCTCATCTTAACTTTTTTTTTCCCTTTTTTTTTTTATTTGACACGTGTGCAAAAAGAGCCGAGTGACGGACGCGCTCCCCTTTTTATATTCCTGGGGTCCGTGTCCATCGTTCCGCCTAACGGTCTCTCGCTCTCTCTCATTATTCTGAGTCTCTCTTTCTTCTAACAATGAGAGACGGCCAAGTACCGTTTATCCAACCTATTCGCCGCGTTAACCCTACACAGCCGTCTGTGGGTCGTTAGGCACACTTGTCTCTGATAAGTCCACCTCTCCTTTCTTTTTTTTTATTTATATCACGACTTATTTTGTTTTAGGTTTTTTTTTTTCTTTTTCCGGCCATAGCGTGGTTCGATCACTACACCGAGTTGATTTGCTTTTGTACACGGTAACTATCCAGCTTCCTGGGGTCCCACATCTCATTTTCCTCTCTTTCCAGCCCGACCCTAGACTCACCCCAGGATGCTGACCATCATTCCCACCCGCGAACAACAGGCCCTCCGGCCTTTCGCCCGGGTTGCCGAATGACGGCCCGCCACCCGGTCAGCTTCTTCCGTCCTCGGATCGATCGCACTTCGGACGTCCCCCCGTACAGCAGCTCGGACCCGAGGATCATCCGATTCCCCGCCCGGCAGACTGCGTACGGGCGGCATCCGATCTGATCGTTCCCGACGCTCGAAAACCGCCCCTGGTGTCCTGGAGTGGATCCGGATCTTGGCCCCTCCTCGGACCCCCATCTGGGATCACCGTGTACTCCGACGCACCTCACCGTCCGTATCCGCGATTCCACACCTGTCGGGTATTATTGACCTTTTTTTTACCCTTCCGATTTTAACGTTCATCTCTTCCAGATATTTTCACGCCCGATCCTGCTATTCGCCGCGGCCTTGGCTCCTCCCTTTCTTCCTTTTCGCCTTCGTGTAGAACTTCTTTGGGGGGTATGCCTTATGTCCCCTCCTCCCTCGGTTGCGGTTTCAGATCGCTAATGTGGGCTGTCCTCATCCGATTATCCTTGGCGCTCTTCAGCCGGCAGATGACGGGTGACACGAAATCCGTTATCGTGTACGGACCCGCATACTTCGGCGCCAGTTTTGCTGCAAACCCTTCAGCCGCCTTTGATAAATGGTGTTGTTTCGCCCATACCACCTCTCCGATCTTCGGCTTCCAGGGCCTTCTCCTTAGATTGTAGAACCTCGCCTGGTCCTGCGCTGCCCTTTCCAGGTTCCGCCTAACCAACTGAAACAATTCTCTCAGCTTGCTTGCGTTTTCGTCCGGCGTGAGCGTGCCCTGGCCGGTCCCTATTGTTTCCTCATCGAATAGGGCTTTTGGCAGACGTGGTTCCCGGCCTTGGACAATAAATGCAGGAGAGTACCCTGTTGAGTCGGACACGCCCGAGTTCACTGCCAACATGAGCTCGGGCCACTTCTCGTCCCAGCATCTTTGGTCCCCCTCGCAGAATTGCGCAATCATGGTTTTTTTCGTCCTGTTTGTGCGTTCCGTGGGATTCTCCTGGGGCGTATATTCTGCTCTAGAAACTTTTTGAAAATCCGGCTCGTAAACTGGACTCCGTTGTCCGTAATTATCACCTTCGGCACTCCGAATCGCGCCACTATGCGTTCTCGTACCGCTTTTGTGAGTGTCTCAGCCGTGGCCTTCCTTAGTGGCACCAACTCTGTCCACTTCGAGAACCTGTCCACCAGCACCAGCAGCATTGAGTTCCCGTGCTTAGACCTGGGCAGTGGTCCCACGAAATCCGCACACACCGTCACCCAGGGTTCCTCGGGCACCTGGGTCAGCATCTTTCCGGCGGCTTGTTGTTGATTTGGTTTGAACCTTAAACATACCTCGCACTTCCTCACGTAGGCCCTCACGTCTCTATGCATCCCGGGCCAGTAATAGCGTCCCGCTACGCGCGCCATGGTCTTCCTTCCTCCGGAATGTCCCGCCTCCGGTGTGTCGTGGTTTTCCTTGACGACTCCATCCCGTAGGTCTCTCGGGACACACATCTTCCAGGCCGCGACTTCCTCGTCTCCGGCTCTGTGGGGAATGTGCCTATACACCTTCCCCGCCTCCTCCACGTAGTCGGGGAACTTCTCGGGTTCTTTTTTGATTTGGTCCTTCACTTTCGCTATCCACGCACATGGGGCCACCGTTTCAGAGACCCCGACTGGTTCGTCGTCCACTCTCATACATCACTCCACCAGCGGCTGCCGGGAGAGCGCATCGGCCACCACGTTGAGTTGTCCCTTTCTATACGCAATCTCGAAATCGTACTGTTGTAGTTCTAGGGCCCACCGGGCGACTCTTCCTGTTGGGCTTTCGATGCTGTTAAGCCACTTCAACGCCATATGGTCGGTGACCACCTTGAAGTGATATCCCTCTAAGTACGGTTTTAACTTCCTTATGGCCCATACAATGGCCAGGCACTCCTTTTCGGTCGCCGAGTAATTCCTCTCAGCACTATTGAGCGTTCTGCTGGCGTACGAGATGACTCGTTCTCCTCTCTCGGTCTCCTGGGTAAGGATCGCGCCCAGCCCGTAATCACTGGCATCCGTCTGCAGCACAAACTTCCTGCTGAAATCTGGACAGGCCAGCACTGGGTCTGCCACCAGTTGACCTTTTACCGCCTCAAACGCCTGCTGCTGCGCCTCTGTCCACACCCACTTCGCCTTCTTCTTCAATAGCGCGCTCAGTGGCTGTACCAATGTGGCGAAATCGGGTACAAACCTTCGATACCATGAGGCCACGCCTAGATACTGACGTAGCTCCTTGACACTGTTTGGGGGCTGTAGTTCGGCTATCGCTGCCACCTTCTCGGGATCCGTGCAGATGCCCTCCCCCGTCACCAGGTGTCCTAAATATCGCAACTCCTGTCGGAAGAACTGGCACTTTCCGATGTTCAGCCTCAAATTTGCCTTCTTTAGACGCCTGAACCCCTCCTTTAGATTCCGCTGGTGCTCTTCCTGGGTCTTTCCTATGACTATGATGTCGTCCTGATAGGCAAAGGCATGGGGCATCATTTCGGGTCCAATTACACTGTCCAGTGCGCGCTGGAATGTGGCAGATGCGGAGTGTAGTCCAAATGGCATCACCTTCCACTGAAACAGCCCTTTACCTGGCACCGTGAAGGCGGTGATCGGTCTGCTGGCCGCTTCCAGGGGACTCTGCCAATACCCATCCTTCAGATCTAGGCTGCTGATAAAACGAGCCTCTCTCAACTGATCCAGGATGAAGTCTATCCTTGGCATGGGGTAGGCATCCTTGACCGCTTTTGCTTTAATCTGACGGAAATCGACACACAGTCTCCACTGCCCGGTTTTCTTTTTGACCATCACGATCGGCGAACTGTAGGGGCTCCGCGATGGCTCAATGCATCCCAGCTCGATTAGCTCGTCTACCTTTTGGTCGATCTCGGCCTGCATCTTGGGATTCTTGGGGTAGTATCTTTGCTTGATGGGCTGTGCATCCCTCATTGTGATCGTGTGCACCGCCACGTTGGCCGTCCCCGTCATTTCCTTGAACTCGGCCAATTCCCGATCGAGGAATCCTTCTACCGTTTCCTTCTCCCGCGTCTCCTCACTCGACCCTTCCTCTGGGGACTCGGTCACCCCCTCTCCGTCTGTCGAGGGCGCCGCGATGGCCTCCACTACCGCCACGGATAGCCTCTCCTCCGGCCGTCCGTCCCGTCGGCCTTTCGCAGGGATCACGACCCTGTGCCCCGCACAGGTCACCTCTGCGCCGACTGCGGTCAGGAAGTCCCAGCCGAGGACCAACGCGTCGATCACGCCCGGTAGCACGAGCAGCGACATCCACACTTTCTTGTCTCCGAAAGCCATTTCCACTTCGAGTTGTGTATTCACCTCTTGACTGTGGCCGTCCGCCAGCCGCACGCGTTTCTTCGTCTCGTGCTCGCGTCCGACTCCCCGCAGCTGCTCCGCCAATTCACAGCTAATGAAACTGCTGGTGGCCCCGGTATCCACCGTGGCCTTCCATTCGTTTCCCGCAATCACCACCACCGCGGACAGCTGCACTTCCTCCTCGGCGAGCTCGCCGACTAGGTTGTTGGGGCCTCCTCTTGCGACCCCGGCACGGCCTTTCGTGGCTTGGGTCGCGGGGCGTTTCCCGCCCGTTTGCAGCACTGCCAGATTAGCACGCCGACCTTGCCGCACCGCCAGCAATATGTTAGTGGGCGCCCTGAGCACGCTTGCGCCCAATGGGCGTCACTCCCACATCGCCGACATGCTTGCGCGGGGTTTTTCACGAATCCCCCTTCAACGTTGGAGTCCACCTTCTCTTCTGCCTTTGGCGGCGTTGGCTTCCGCTCCGCTGACTTTGTGGTGTCGGTCACAGGCTCGTCCTTGCATCGTCGGCATACCTCCGTCCCGGCCGTCTTGGTGAATGGGTTATGGGCCTTCGCCCGACTCGTCGGGTCCTCTCGTTGGAATTCCACCCGATCCCTCTCCAGCGCTTCAAACTCATCCGCCAGGGTCATCAGCGTTTCCAGATCTTTGCATCTATGTGGTCGGATGAACATCCTTAGGCCCGGCATGCTGTTTTCTCGGATTAACTCAAACTCTTCCTCGGGTGGGCACTTCAATGGCCGGACGAGCGTCTGCATCTCCACCATATAATCCTTGAAGGATTCTCCCCACCTCTGCTTCCGCGTTCTCACCTCCTGGAGCAATTTTTCAAAATAACCCCTCGGGAGGAAGAACGCCTGGAAGCTGCGTGAGAACGCCGCCAATGCTTATTGTTGGCGACAAACCACGTAAGTGCCCGCCCCTTCAGCAGCTCGGGCATCGCCCTGGGGATCATATCCAGTTCCAGCCCATACATGTCCGCTGACCATTCGACCTGCTCCAAAAATTCAAGGGGCTTTGCCGTCCCGTCGAATCGGAACGACCACTCTCTCACCTGTTTGGCCACGTGCGCATAGCTTGCTCGCAGCTGCCTCTTCGCTTGTTCGTCTCCCGTCGGGTGTGTGCTCCTTGACTCCCGTTGGCCTGAG